CTTAGGATCTGGAAACAGTATTATTGTCAGTCCTCGACAGGTCTGTATATTGCATGTTCATTTTTCTGCTTTAAAGCTATTCTTTATATTTTTTCCCTGTTTTACACAAAGAAATGAACTGTACTTTTGAGAAATTCTCTGGTGTGAAGTAGCAGAATATAAAAAATGGATTTCATGCATTCATTTAAATGTGTTAATAAAACATCCAAACACAAATCAAAACATACTGACTGCACCTTTTAGTTGATTTCCACTATATAAAATGCAAATATAGAACATGATTATATAATATTATGTATTCATCTGTTTACAGAGAGGTAACCCCATCCTAAAGTTTGTGAGAAATGTTCCTTGGGAGTTTGGAGAAGTTGTGCCAGACTATGTTTTGGGACAGACAACCTGTGCTCTTTTTCTCAGGTTGGTTTTTGGGAATATGTATGGTACAGGAGAGAAGATATATTACACCGGTTTGAAAATATTGCAGTTCTAATATTTGTAATATTTTTTTATCTGATATTACAGTTGTCAGTGTTTCGTTTTGTATGCCCTTTTTAAAAAATCAAGTCAAAACGCCTATTCAAAATAGGAATCCAAATGCACACAATGAAAACCTAGAAGCTTCATCAATCATGAATATGAAACCAGTGCTGTTTTGCACATTTGGGGCCAATTCCAGATCAACTTATTGTTGGCTTTTAATGTACTGAATCATGGAGGAAAGAAAGTAATAAGTTGATATTTGTATGATGTCAAAACCTGTCCTAGATTTGTATATTAAAGGTTATGAAGTAGTATGAAATAATGAAATAGTACTTTATTAATATTTAATGCAATGAAATATTGAGTGTTTAGTGTTAAAATCTAGAAACCTGGGTGTAAGCATGTGTATGTGCACTTAAAACACATTTTGTAAGTGTTATGTGAGAATGGAATACTCTGAGCTGGTCAAGTGTGAAACCGCATCATCCTGTCTTTTCAAAGAAAATAAGTGAGAATTCAAGGTAACAGACGTGTGTTGTGGCTGAAACTCATGATTGGTATGACAATACAGCATAGACAATGTATAAACAATTGAGAAATGTAAATTAACAAAAGCTTTTTATATTTGGAATTGCTTGTTTCTGTGTAAAATGGAATTTCATGTGTATGGCAGGATGAGGCTTTCATGTATTTGAAGGGATAGTTCACCAAAACATTCACTCACCCTCCACTTGTTCCAAACCTGAATGAGTTTCTTTCTTCTGTTGAGCACAAAAGAAGGTATTTTGAAGAATGTTGGTAACTAAGTGGTTAATGGTAGCCATTGACTTCCATTGATTTTTTTTCTATACTATGGCAGTCAATGGCTACCATCAACAGTTTGGTTAGCAACATTCATACAGGTTTGGAACAACTTGTGGGTGAGTAAATCATGTGAATATGAATCATTGCAAATGTTTTTAGTCCCTTAACCAATGGTTTAATTTTACTAAATTGCAAATGGAAAATTGAAAATAATTTTCTATAGTGCTTATATTCACCAATCTTATATCAGTACAGTGTGTGATGTTTTAGTTTCTCTTTATCTTCATGACTGCAGTGTGCGTTACCATCATTTGAACCCAAACTACGTCCATGAGCGTCTGAAACAGCTGGGACAGAGTTTCACCCTCAGAATATTACTCGTCCAGGTTGACGTGGTGAGTCTGTCTGTCTCACTCACTAATTCACTTAAATTTCTTTGTTTTTCCTGTTTCTTTGCCCATTCTCAAATGTGTAGTGTTTTTTAAATCTTTCTGAATTCAATGCCAAATAGATCATGATGGTCAGTAAAATATAGCCTCTTAATGCCAGCTTTTGAATTTTTAAGCTCTTCAGTTAGAGGCTGTTTATGTTCATTTCCCATTTCTCTCTTCCTCATTTATCAGAAAGACCCTCATCATGCACTGAAAGAGCTTGCTCGAATATGCATCATGGCTGACTGTACCCTCATTTTGGCCTGGAGGTAAGGGGATGATTCAAAATAATCAAGCGAAAGGGGAATTCCTTTAGTGGCTTTTGTCAACATATGGTGTTAAAGGGGTCATATGATGCGATTTCAATTTTTCCTTTCTCTTTGAAGTGTTACAAGCTCTTGGTGCATAAAGAAGATTTGTAAAGTTGCAAAGACTAAAGTCTCAAATCCAAAGAGATATTCTTTATAAAAGTTAAGAGTCAACCACGCCTACCTAAAACGGCTCGTTCTAACACGCCCCCACATGTCTACGTCACGATGTGGGAAGATTTGTGATCGGAGAAATGACAAACAACAAGCACTACTCTACACTGCTCAAAACTCGTGTTTGAATCATAACGCCGAGCATAATGTTCATGAGCATAACGCCGCCCAAATGTTCACGCAAAGAAAAAAGGCGTAACTTTTATTCTCGCTGTAGTATTGTTGTTGCCGCCGCCATGTCGTGAAGGCACTGTGTGATTCGTTGTGAAAGCGAAACTACTTTGTTTGGTCTTCCAAAAGAGGACGATATCCGCTTCGTCATGCCTGGAGCTGATCCGTGCTGGTCGCTGAGGTTTCAGAAAGGCGGGTCATAGAGGAGAAACAATGTACAGTATGTGGAAAATAATGTGTTTTTTGAACCTTAAACCGCATAAACACATTTCATTACACCAAATACACAAAATAATGTTCTTTTTAGCAACATCATATGACCCCTTTAAAGTTCAAGCCCTGTTCTTTTTAGTGCTTCAATTCAGTTCCTATAATTAAACATATCCGTTTGTGTGTGTAAGTCCTGAAGAAGCAGGCCGTTACATTGAGACATATAAATCCTACGAGAAAAAACCTGCAGATGTTCTGAAAGAACAAGTGGAGAAAAATTACTTGTCCCAGGTTAGAGCACAAAAACCTAATACATCTAAAATGATTATGTTTGGTTCATTTAATCATACACTGATGACATCATTCCTATAATTGTTTTGTTTTTTTGGTCCTATTTAATACTTCCTTTTTGTTTGACAGGTTACAGATTGTTTAACCACAGTGAAGTCTGTCAATAAGACAGATGCCATGACTCTCCTGTCTACTTTTTCTGTAAGGAATTATTTTCCTTGATATGTTGCACATTTACTGCATTACTTACACTACTGTTCAAATGTTTGAGGTCAGTAAGATTTTTTTTTAAAGAAATTATTAGCTTTATTCAACAGGGACACATTTAATTAATCAAAAGTGACAGTAAAGACTTTGAAAAAATTTATCAATTTCAACAAAGATATTAAGCAGCACAACTGTTTTCAACATTGATAAAAAGAAATGTTACTTGAACACAAAATCAGCATATTAAATTGATTTCTGTCATGTGACACTGAAGACTGGAGTAATGGCTGCTGAAAATTCAGCTTTGCAGTCACAGGAATATGTTACATTTTAAATTAAAATATATTAAAATGGAAAACAGTTATTTTAAATTCACATTTTTGATCAAATAATTATGCAGACTTGTTGAGTTTAAGATACTTTTTTCCAATCAATCAATCAATCAATCTTACCACCTTAAACTTTTGATTTTGTGTATATAAAACCCATTGCCAATAATCTTGAAATATGTAATTGTATAAAATTGTATCAATTGTATGTTCTTTTACGTTGATTCCGTTTTATCTCTTCAGTCTTTGGAGGGAATCATTAAGGCCTCTAAGGAAGAACTGGTTTTGTGTCCTGGACTTGGTCCACAAAAGGTGTGCAGAGACACTTTGATATGTTTTGAGCAGTTGGCTTTATATGTAGCATCTGATATCAGTTTACATGTGTTACTGTACATAGTTTTACATATATTATTATTGCTCATGAACTTTAACAGTAAGTGCATTTTACACTTTAAACTTGTCCAAAGGTATGTGTCTTAATTTCCTGTCCTGTTTGTGGTTCATTTAGGCAAGAAGGCTTTATGATGTACTGCACCAGCCCTTCATAAAGACCAAGAAGAAGGAAAGCTGAGCTGATAAAGCCAAACTGCTTTTCTTGAAATCACCAACTGTCTTAGAACAGAGTGCCTAGAATAAGGTTCTGGAGCCATATAGCACAAGGTCAGCTGGAGGCTTCAGGGTCGTTGGCCTATGATGATCTCGGCCTTTAATTTGGGGCATAAACAGCCATAAATGCAGTGGTTTATTTATTAACTTTTGTAAAGAACGTAACCTGCTTTTGTAATTCTGTAAATTCAGTCTGACTCAGTAGGATGAGGCAAGGTTAACATTTTAGTTAAAATAAAAAAAATTTTCATGTGTGTTTATGAAAATTTCAATAAATTTCAACACTATTTTGCAGTATGTTATGTTGTTCTTTTAGAGTGGGAGGGGAGATTCTATAATAACTCCATGATTCTTATTGCAACCGAAACAAAACCTGTAGGAACCACTTGTCATACATTAAAAAAAATGGTGGAAACTTAAGAACAGACTCAAATGATACGTCAGAATTAGACTTTATGGTCAAACTGACTCAGAGTATGAATGTGTTTGTGGGCCAAAAGTTCATTGCCATCACAATTGCCACAGAAAACGACATCACAGCCTTAATCTCACAACTTGCATTAATGTGGAGGTTATATTGTTCACATAGTTCTTAAAGAGATAGTCAAACCAAATAAAATTACAATTCTGTCATTATTTACTCACCCTCATGTTGTTTCAAACTTGTATGACTTTCTTCTGTCAAGCATAAAGGCGATATTTTGAAAAAGACAGTTTTTTGGTCCATATAATGGAATTCAATGGTCACCAAAACTGTTTGGTTTCCAACATTCCTCAAAATATCTCCTTTTGTGTTCTGCAGAAGAAAGCACGTAATGCAGGTTTGGAATGATATGGGAGAGTAAATGATGACTGAATTTTTTGGGTTTTTAGATGTTCAGATGTATTAGATGTATTTAAAAAAAAAAAAAAAATTTCTGAGAACTCGCTGTTATTAATACATGCAAGTGAGATCTTTCCCCTACAAATTTCCATTGTGTGCTTTTATAATGTGCGAGTATATAGGTGAGAAGAGTCTCTGACCTACATACTCTTGTCACATATAAGAGTAGACCACACTGTAGGTCAAATTCTGCTCATGTTTCATTCCTGCATCAGCACAGTCGTACATCATGCTGCTCACCGTCTGTCTCCTGCTGTCTGTCTTCTCTCTGTTCGGTAAGACATTCACATCTTACATCAATAAGGCCGATTCTTTTGGGAGGGAATGTTTTAATTGAATACTATTAATATATTAAGACCTATTTCTGTATGTTTCCACATATTTTTTTTATCAATGGCTTGCAAGCAGTTTCAGTGATTTATTAAAATAAATTAAAATAAAAACCTCTTGTATCATGACCACAGGAGGATTAGAGAGTGGTATTGTTGGAGGCAAAGAGGTTAAACCCCATTCCAGACCAAACATGGCATCTCTCCAGTATAGAAGACAACATAAGTGTGGAGGGATGCTGATTAGTGATGATTATGTGCTGACATCGGCTCACTGTTTGGAGTGAGTATATACAATTAATATATTAGTATTTGAACATGATGAGGTATTGTAGTCTTTATCTGGATTATTATTTTTTTAAGCAGTGTACTAACATGATGCTCTGCAGTTGTCACCTCTTAAAATAACCTGAACAATAAATGTTTTCACAGCAAGACCACCAACTTCTTAGAAGTTGTTCTGGGAGCTCACAATATTAGCCAGAACGAGGACAGCCAGCAGATTATCCAAGTAGACAAGTACATCAGAAATCCTAAGTATGAAAATGATGGCTTGACCTATGATATCATGTTACTAAAGGTATTATTGGTGCTCAAATGGTCCTTTTTTTGGGTGGATCGTAAATTATTATTATTTTTTATTTTATAGAGGTATTCACTGACTAATATGTTACAGATGAAGACCAAAGCTGTGCGAAATGAGTTTGTGGATGTTATTGAGCTACCTAAGAACAATGAGGATATTCCTGCCCATGTGGAATGCTCCATTGCTGGCTGGGGCATGAAAAAACCCGGAGGAAGAGCATCAGATGTTCTGTGGGAAGTCAGCCTCAAACTACAGTTCAGCTTTGAATGCAAAAACAAGTGGAAACACCATTTCAACTCTGAGAAAATGATCTGTAGTGTCTCGGATGGGAAAAGGGCGTTCTGTCAGGTACTGCAACTATCACTTTTGATTATTAGCAAAAAAATTATGTCATCTTATATTTCACATAAATTCACATTGTGGCAGACTACATTTTAAGTCTTTCCTTTGTTTCTTTAGGGTGATTCTGGCAGTCCTCTTTTTTGTGACTCTGAACTTAAAGGAATGGCTGCATACACATATCCTTATGACTGTACATACAAGAAATACCCTGAAGTCTATATGAAAATATCTGCCTTCCTCCCGTGGATTAAGAAAAACATTAAGTGATTGAAATAGCATCATCTATGCACATAAATGATCTATCATGTGTTTAAGCCTAAAAAGCTCTTTTACTAATTCTTGCCTAGTCCCTGATGCTATTTCCATATGGAATGTCATTCAAATGGTTAAGAATAATTTATTTGACCTTTTCTCTGTATTTTGATTCCAAGGCTGTCTTCAGGGAGAACAAGTGGGCCCACTAAGGTCCTCTATGATATAACCTACTTATTGGACTAGCCTTCTTAATTTGCATATACATTTTAAAAAGCGAATTTACATCTCACAAAATGAAAGTTATTAAATTAAAATGCAAATAATAATGTTTTTTTCAAGCAAAACCTGTACAAAAATAAATGTACCTGTACTTACACATGTAAGTCAAAAATAAAAGCATCTGTAGAACTTTGGTCCACAGGAAGTTACAGAACATTGTTGATTCTTGATGATGAAAGGTAGATTATCATACCATTATATATAAAATGTTATGAAATGACAGAAAAGTTCCAGCTAGGTAACTGCAAAGATGAATTTGTCCATACAAAAGTAAAGCAAAGTACATACTGTATCTTAAGAGACCTGCACTCCCGCGGGACCCAACGCAACAGAGTGCGGCGCGGGACAACTCTTGATGGGCGAGTGCGGGTGCGGGCGGGAAGAGACTCGTGTGTGTGCGGGATGCGGGAGAATAAAATGATTCGCGGTTATCTAAATATAAAGTGTCTAAAACATATAAATTGTTATTTATCTGTTGTACAAAAGCAAAAAGAACAACTAATATTAACATTAAAATGATTGACATGCGCAAAGATACTGTATGTAATGATCTTCAATTTAGGGTTTAGAAATCACTCACTTCTTGTATGTTACAAACACCTCCCCTAAAAAGACTGTTATTTTGTACACACATTTGTGGTTTGAGGTAAGAGGGGGAGGGGTTACTACTAGTGAGGGTAGAGAGTGGGTTTGAGTATTTTGGCAGCACTTAATGCTTAAACGCAGGCTGTTGCACCATGGTTCATTATTCTTTTCTTCTCCTTGTTATCTCTTTGGCTGGTAAGATATCATTCATTCCTTTTTTTCAGAATTTGTATTGTATTTGTATTTTTTTTTAAGTAAAAATGTTGGAAAACTATTAAATATTTAAAGCTAGAATATAATTTAAATAGTCTGGTGTGAGTTACTCATGTTTTTGTCATAGGTGGGATGGAGAGTGGTATTATTGGAGGAAAAGAGGCTAAACCTCATTCCAGGCCATACATGGCATCTATTCAGATCAATAGACATCACACATGTGGAGGGATGCTGATCAGAGAGGATTATGTACTGACAGCGGCCCACTGTTTGAAGTGAGTATGTCCCAGGCTGCATGTGAAGGATTACTTATGATGCTTTTCAAAAAGAATGTTATAGCCTCAATACTTTTAGTTTATCTGTAAATTTGTGTTTTAGTTATTCAATTACTTGAAGACCAAAATACCTTCATTACAGTTTTTGATTTTTTTCCACAGCCGTAGTGTCTTCTCTAGTCGAGATCACTTTGAGGTTGTTCTGGGAGCTCACAACATCACGAAGAAGGAGAAGAGCCAGCAGAGAATCCCAGTGAGGAAATACATCCGACATCCTATGTTTGAACAGAACAAGGAGAAGGACTACAGCTATGATATCATGTTACTAAAGGTACTTTCACCTTCACCTACTGTAACTCTATATTCAGTGTGTTGGGCAAGTTACTTCCAAAATGTAATACATTATATATTACTAGTTACTGTCTTTTGAAAGTAATTAGTTACATTACAATATTACTGTCTCTGAATTGTAATGCGTTTCACTACTTTTGAGTTCCTTTCACCAAAATTATTATAAAATGCCAAAATGTAGTTTATTGCTGCTCATTCTACATCCAGTGGAGGGTAATGTGGTAGGTCTATACAGCATAAAATTATGAAATCATATTTAGATACCGTTATGTAGGTCTACATTAATGTTACATTGTAGTTTAGGTTAAACACAGATAAGCACAAACCGCATTATTACATTCATAAATAACACCGTTAAATAAAGCAAAAATGTTATAATGTACAACTAATAAACACAATACCTAGCCTAGCTATTTTGAACGGTTTCAGAAGAAAACAAGAATGAAAAAATTTGCTAAACAAGCCAAAATTCAAAAAGAGCCAGGCTAATTCAATGCGAAACTGAAAGCAAACGGCGTTCTCGCGCAGCCTACTCTCTCATTCAGCATTAATCCAATTCCATATTTGTGATGTATTTGAATGCTAAGATGTATTTGAATGCTAAACTATTATTTATTATGTAAACCAGGCTTAAAGCGCTTAAAAACATCCTCATCACATGAGCAAATGTGTGTTTGGCCCAAACGGCACGGATTGTAGCCTTCTACGCAGTACGCACTAATTTAAATTAACCAGTGTATCTATATGTTTGGTTGACTGTATTTTATTCTGATAATGAACAGGCTGCAACGTTTGCAATGCTGTATGTGTGTGCGTGAGGCGCCGGCGCGATCGAACAGCAGAAACAAACAACAAAAATACTTCCTCATTTTTGGTCATACAAGGGCACGTTTCAGAAGGTTAAGTGAAAACTATGTTAACCCTGAAATGAGGGAAACTCTGGGTTTTCCGTTTCAGAATGTGAGGTATGTCAAACCCGAGAAAGCAGGGTAAGTCAAACCCGTTTCTGAAAGAGAGGTAACTTGTACTCAGAGTCAGTTTCCATGGTAACTTACTCTGTGAACCTAACCTGGCTATGTTACTATAATGATTCTGTAAATGGTGATCAGCACCAAAATATTGTATGTAATGTGGAAGCTACTGCCTTTTGCCTTGGCGTGACATCTCACTTTTTGCAGACAGTGCAAAGGCAGAGTACCTAAAATAACTTCAAAATAGCGGTAAAAATCATCCTCCTGTCCACCTGTCACTCAACAACGTATGCTGTTCTGTGTCAGCTGCGTCACGCCGGATCTGTTTCCTACGCTGTTGTGATTTGATCTGTTTACGTTCAGTGGATACTCTCCAAAATGGCACCAGGGTGATGCCGAGGAGATGAATTGTTGAATAACTTCGTTTTTTTTTTCTTTCGCGCACAAAAAGTATTCTCGTAGCTTCGTATAATTGCTGATGAACCACTGATGTCACATGGATTATTTTACTGATCTCCTTGCTACGTTTCTGGACTTGGGAACATTTCAGTTGCGTTGCTGTCTATGCAGGGTCAGTCAGCTCTCAGATTCCATCAAAAATATCTTAATTTGTGTTCCGAAGATGAACGGAGGTCTTACAAGTTTGAAACGACACGAGGGTGAGTAATTAATGACAGAAATTTTATTTTTGGGTGAACTAACGCTTTAATGACTTGTACCTTTGACTGTGTTAAACGTGGTATCACGTGGATGGGAATATGCATAGAAATGATATGCAAATGAGGTTATGCATAGTAAAACTAGGCGTTGAAAGCTCCATATATGGTGATTATGGGGAGGAGACGGGGTGGAGATGCACGTACGCACAATCTTCCCCTGACTGGGAATTATAAAGGGATTTTTGCGCAGGTTCTGGCGTACGCATGGTTTTATAAATCTGAAAACTTTTGAGCGTACGCAAAATCTAGCTTTTGTGCCTACGTGCACTTTTAGGATGAAATCTACAGAGAGTTTTATAAATGAGACCCCAGGTGTTTCCAGGTTTTACTCGTGCTATTTCTCCATGTTGAGAGTTTGGTGTCGCACATATTGCACCTGACTATGCAGTCTTATCCTTTTCTCTGATGAACTGAAAATAACAGGAGTGTGTCCATCACACAAATGTAGAATCCGTCTCTGCAGTCATCTCAACCGTCTAATTCCAGCAACAGGAAATAGACAAACTAGTTTACCCGCGGAATTTTTTCTCTGGTGCTGTTTTGCGGTGTTGGTAAATTCACCACTTAATTTTGAGTTAAAATGTTGTTGTAACTTGCGTTACTGAGATTGTAACGAGTAATAATATTACCCAAATTGTATTAGTAATGCGTTATATTACTGCGTTACAGCAAAAAGTAATATAGGCCTACTACTGTAATATTACTTTTGTAATGAGTTACTCCCAACACTGTCTATATTATGCACTTTGTTCTCTTTAAATTACTTTGCTATTTGCAGCTGAAGAACAAAGCCAAGATGAGCAAATTTGTGAAAGTTATGCCTTTTCCTAAGAAGAATGGAAAAACACCTGCTAATGTTCACTGCTCCATTGCGGGTTGGGGGTTGAAAACCCCAAAAGGAAACCAGGCATCAGATGTGATGCGGGAAGTCAATCTCAAACTGCAGTTCAGCACTGAATGTAAAAACAAGTGGCAGCAGTACTTCAACTCTGAGAGAATGATCTGTAGTATTTCAGATGGGAAACATGCTTTTTGTATGGTATTCTATTCTATTCTATTCTATTCTATTCTATTCTATTCTATTCTATTCTATTCTATTCTATTCTATTCTATTCTAAATTTCTCTATCCATCTTATTCATAGGGGGATTCAGGGAGTCCTCTTATCTGCAATACTAAACCACAAGGAATTGCTTCATATACCTTTAATGGTAACTGTACAAATAAATCATATCCTCAAGTTTATGTAAAAACCTCCTACTTCCTCCCCTGGATTAAAAAGAACATTGGTTAAAATTAAACAAATAAATAAATAAATAATCTGGGTTCTTACATTAAAGGTGTTTTTGTTGTTGTTTCACTTTTATACTTTTTTTTTAACCACTTGTTAATCTGCATTTAAGTTTGCTAATACATGTACAGTGGGTATAGAAAAGAATCACCCCACTTTAAAATTATCACATTTTGTTGCTTTGCGGCCTTAAATAAAGACGGACACAGTTTTTGTTTTGTCAGGCTGTATTTACTCAGTGCAACTGATCCAGGGAGGGTCTGTGTTGAACCAAATACCTTCCACTTCTTAATAATACTACCACAATACACTGTGTTTCTAGGCATTGATAAAGCCTTTGAAATTTTTTTGTATCCATCTCCTGACTTGTGCCTGTCCACAACTTTATCTCGGAGATCTTTTGACAGTGCCTTGCCACCCATAGCTGATTGTTTGCTTCAGTTACACTACCAAGGACTGAAATGCTCCAGGAAAGCTCTTTTCATGCTGAGCTAATCAAAATGACTACAGCTGATCACAGTTGAAATTCTTTTCTGTGCCGACTGTAGGCTCCATATATTTGCCATCATAGCTGCAAGGGCCAACCTGATCAATCTTGTTACCTAAAATAGTAATGACAAAAAGAGTCAATTCAACAGTGAAAACATGATTGCAGTTTTACATGCTTCACACTTTCACACTTTTTGCTTTTAAATGGGCAAAACTAAAACAAACTTAATTGCACACATTTTGCTTTAAATAATGGTTACTTTAACTGTGTAGGGTTTATGTGTGATTGTTTGATACTCATCAAATTAGTCTGTTCCTGCAGAAACCTGTTGTTGCTCATGTGATTTCACACCTCTGTGCTCTCTGAGTGACCTTGTGAAAATTCCACCTATGAAGCCCCTTTCTTTGCACGCAAGCATGTGGTCTGAAAGGAGGTATGAAAACTAGAGTAGTGTATTTGAGCCAAAGTTGAGAACATTCTAGTTAGATGTCAATATGTCATATTCTATACTGTCTCTCAGGAAATGCATTTTGACATGTTGGTCTGTCTTATTGAATGTGGATCCATTCATTGACAACAAACTATTACACTTGTAAATATGTAAAGCTGATTCTTTTCATTTAAATTTCAGTATTTAAAATACAAAAGTTCAAATCCTATTTGGGCAATGACCAGGTCTCTGATGCCGCTTTATTTATCTGGCAGATGAATATCAGAGATGATAAGAGTTCATACTGTAGGTGATCACATGAAGTAAAATGCATCTCATGCTTTCTCATCTGATAGTTGACTGAATAACAAATTCCAAAGCATTTTTGTGGTTGGTAATTTAATAACATGTAATGAAATATATCACCATTTGTTAATTACAAAAAACGGACTAAATTTGTTTCAGATTTGATAAAAATTACATGAACTATATTGTCCTTCCTAAGACAGATCAAAAATGTCTAGCTAATGTGACTGTCGCTGGCTGGGTTCTAACTAACAAGGAGAAAGTGCATCAAGGGCTGCAGGAAGTCACTGTATCTGCTGCTCACCTCAGAATATAGAATCATGTGGCAGTGATAATTCAGTTCAGAAATATATGTTTGTGGTCAGAATTATTGCCACCACTGGACTCTGGAGCAGTGGGAACATGTTCTGTGGAGTGACAAATAACTCTTCTCTGTTTGGCAGTCTGATGGGCGAGTCTGGGGTTAGCGGAAGCCAGGAGTTAACTGGAGTTATGCCAACGTTACCTGCCTGACTGCACTGTGCCAGCTGTAAAGTTTGGTGGAGGAGGGATAATGTGAATTAAAACGTGCATCTCAAAATCAATGTTATTATAGAGAAAAACAAATCAAAGTTCAAAAAATTATTTGATTTATCAAGCAAAGGTCATACAAATCCTAAGCCAAAAATAAAATCAGCTGTCCAACTTTGGTCCACAGGAAGCTCCAGAACATTGTTCCTTTTTGATGTTGAAAGGTATAAATTACCAAAGCATATGCACCATTACATACATTAATAATATATTACATATATTAAATAGTAATAGTATAAAATGACAGAAAGTGCCAGGAAATAGCAAAGATTAAGATGTCCATACTAAAGGTATGTGAAGTACAAATGTCACTATAGAGGCCAGAAACAGCTTTCAAAATTTATAATTAGTCACTTCTTGTACGTTGCAAACATTTCCTCTTTAAAAAAAAAAAAAAAGACAGTGTTTTTTTTTTGGTCCCCTGTTCACCTGTTTTTTAAGCCAGTAAGTTTTTGATGTCACACAATGTTTGTTTTTTTGCTTCCCACAGGCAACGTTCAGTCATTGACCACAAATAAAATACTACGTTGATCAGTCAGTGTGTGATCTTAACAGAACACCAAAACTTCAGTCCATCAAAAGTTTTTTAATAAACACGAGATTTGGAATTAAGGTACTTCATTTAATTTCTTCTCTGGTAACAGTACTTATAATTGAGTGCAGTATTTCAATTTTGTTTCTGTGACACCACTTTGTTAGTCAGTATACCGTTGTCGCCTGGGTTTAAGCTGCTTTTGTATTTTGTACACACATTTATGGTTCGAGGTTAGAGGGGGAGGAGATATAACTAGTGAGTGCAGATAGTGCGTCTGAATAATTTAATAGCATGCTCACTTAATGCTTAAACTCAGACTGTACTTCTCAATCATGTTTCCTTACGTTTTTCTTCTCCTTGGTATCCCTTTTGCTGGTAAGAATTTATTCATTTTGTTCTTTCTGAATTTGTATTGTGCATCTTTTTTTTCAAGAGCAAAAATCATTTGAAAGCTAGAATATGGTTTAAATAAAAATGTATGAACTTGTACAATTTTTAAATTTAGCCACAAGCAGAAATCATCGGGTTTCTAGCACCAACGGCTCATGTGGATGATTAGGTGCTGCAATTGAAATGCATCTTTTCAAATATAATGTGTTTTTACAGAAAAGTATATTTTGAATGTTCACTGATTTAGGGTTTGATGAAGAGAGAGAAAAACCACCGTAAACATTTTTTGCTACCATAATGTGATCAGAAGATATGTGGTGTACATGGACTCTTGTTTAACATTTACATTTAGAAGAATTGCATGTCACAGGTCAGTTTCAAATAAGTCGTCATAAATTATTTGCTGCTCAAAAAATAATAAATAAATAAATCTGTAACTTAAAAAGTCGATAATTAATTACCATTAGGCCCTTCTATAGTACTATATACTATATATTTCTATAGTATGTGTGGCCTTCCAACCTTCCTTAGACTCCTAAAAAGCCCAATTCCTACTTAAGTAATCTGGTAATGGTGTGAGTTTGTTTTTTGTCACAGGTGGGATGGAGAGTGGTATTATTGGAGGAAAAGTGGCTGCACTTAATTCCCGACCATACATGGCATCTATTCAGATCAATAAACATCACACATGTGGAGGGATGCTGCTCAGAGAGGATTATGTACTGACAGCGGCCCACTGTTTGAAGTGAGTATATCCCAGGCTGCATTATTATGCTTTTCAAAAAGATTTGAGACTTGCCTTGCCTTGAGCCTTGAGACTTTTATTTCATGTGTAAATCTGTGTTTTAGCTATTCAAATACATTAAGACCAAAATACCTTGATTAAACAGTTTGATCTTTTCCGCAGTCGTAGTGTCTTCTCTAGTCGAGATCACTTTGAGGTTGTTCTGGGAGCTCACAACATCACGAAGGAGAAGAGCCAGCAGAGAATCCCAGTGAGGAAATACATCCGACATCCTATGTTTGAACAGAACAAGGAGAAGGACTACAGCTATGATATCATGTTACTAAAGGTACTTTCACCTTCATCTGTAACTCCATTTTATGCACTTTGTTTGCTCTCTTTAAATTATTATGCTATTTGCAGCTGAGCAAATTTGTGAAAGTTATGCCTCTTTTTAAGAAGAATGGAAAAACACCAGCTAATGTTCACTGCTCCATTGCGGGTTGGTGGTTGAAAACCCCAAAAGGAAACCAGGCATCAGATGTGATGCGGGAAGTCAATCTCAAACTGGAGGAGAACTCAAAATGTGAAAAAATGTGGCAGCTGTACTTCAACTCTGAGAGAATGATCTGTAGTGTTTCAGATGGGAAACATGCTTTTTGTATGGTATATTACATTACATTACATTATATTCTATTATATTATATTAATGTATTTCTCTATCCATCTTATTCATAGGGGGATTCAGGGAGTCCTCTTATCTGCAATACTAAACCACAAGGAATTGCTTCATATACGTTTAATGGTAACTGTACAAATAAATCATATCCTCAAGTTTATGTTAAAATCTTCTACTTCCTCCCCTGGATTAAAAAGAAAATGAAAATGAATTAAAATTATTAATTAATTTTAAATTTGGTTTTTACATTAAACAACAGCAAAAACATGTAGCCTGATTGCAGTTTTGCGTACTTCACACTCACACTCTCACAGTCATTGCTTAATGGTCTTTTAAATGGGCAGAACACAACAACTATATTGCACAGATTTTATTTCAAATAATGGTTATTTTAACTGTGCAGGGGTTGGTGTGTGATTGCTTGATACTTGTCTAATTAGTCTGTTCCTGCCAAAACCTCTTGCTCTCTGAGTGATGTTGTGAAAAGTCCCCCCGTTTGTGTGCAAGCCTGTGGTGAGTGATGTGAAAACTAGAGGAAGTGTATTTGAGCCAAAGTTGAGAATATTATTAAGGTGTCAATATGTCTGTTATATACTGTCTGTCTTATCGAAAGTAGATCCTTTCAGTGACAACCAACTACACTTGTAAATACACAAGCTTTTCAGTATTTGAAATACAAGTTCAAATCCTATTTGGGCAATGACCAGAGCTCTTATCTGGCAGATGAATATCAGAGATCATAAGAGTTGGTGCTAATATGAAGTAAAATGCATCTCATGCTTTCTTAGCTGCTAGCTGTCTGAATCACACCAAAGCATTTTGAGGTTGATAATTGAATAACATAAAATTAAATATACCACCATTTGCTTTTTAAAAAAAATTCTGACTAAATGTTTTAGATTTCCAGAAATTACATAAACTACATTATTGAGGGATGAAAAAAATACCAGCTAATGTAACTGTGTAAATGTAGAAAGGGTGCCACAGGAAGTCTTGCAAACTGCTGCTCACCTCAGAATACAGAATCATGTAGCAGCGATACTTCAGTTCAGAAATTTATGATTGGCAGTATCACAAATGGAAAATATTTGTCTGTCCAGTAATACTATACAATTTGATTTATAATTATGAATATATGTATAATGAAGTGAAAAACGAAGAGCCAAACAGTTTATTCAAATGGATCTTTATTTATTGTTGATGTCTCAAGTAAATAGTTCTGTACATGCACAATATTAACAGCTTGCTAATATAGCAAAGAATTGTGAATCATTTATAATTTACACAGATAAAAAAAAAAGTAAATCTGTGATATTAATTATTAATTTCTTCAGATGACTGGTAAATAATCCTAAAGATTAAGCAGAACTGGTTCTTTTAATAAAAAAAAAAAACGTCATATCTTCTGAAATGATACTATAAACAGAGAAATCATTTAAATTAACTTTTACTTTAAAAAAATCCCCTCATGAAAATCACCTTTACAAACAGTAAACAAACATGACAAGGGAAGAGATGGGGTATTTCCTTGGGTCCATATTTTTTTTACCATTAAATATGAAAATACAAATATCTCAGAATACAGGTGATGATCAATTCACATAAATCCTTCTGTCTTGGTAAGCTGGATGTTAATGTTAAAAAAACATTCAAAAACAACCCTCCAACTGATTGCTCTCTGCAAAGGAACATGACAGATTATTCATATGCTTGTTTTAAACCCACCAACCCAATGTGTACGCTCAATCATTATGCAGACTTTTGAAATTAAAGCGCCTCCTGTCGGTGAAACTCTGCATCTAAGGAGGAAAAAAATTTGACTATTAAATAACAAAAAAATAATAATGCATTACTCTATATTAAATTATAAATGAATTACATCTACAGTTTGATTTAGAATCTTATAAGTAATTGTCTAAAATTATTACAAAACAAAACGTGCACACAAATGTGGTCACATACAAAAAGAGAAATTACACGCTCTCACCTGGCTAGGGTCTCTTGTGAAGTATCTCTTCTCTATTACCTAAAGAGACAAAATAACAATTTACACAAAATGTATTGCACAGAGACAGTATATTAGACATATACACCAGTACAGAGAATCATTAGGATCAGAGTGGAAATACACATTTTAGTTTCACTGAAGTCTCTACCTTGTCAAAGAATCGGCTCAATTTAACAGCATTTGAAGATCCAGCAGCAAGATACCGTGGATTTGTACAATCCTGAGAAGAAAAGCAGGTTAAAGCTCAGAATTTATAAGTGCGAAATCCCCAAAGGAGATTTAATACAACAAATGGAAACACGTTTTTTGCTTAATATTATATTAGTTTGGGTTGAGATATTTTAACAGCACTGAAAAGCACACACCAAATTGATCTCTTCTGCATTAAAGTCTTCAGATAGAAAGGCAGTGCGGGTCAGGACATCATTCCGCTTGTTTTCTGGGATCTGATCAAATTTGGTGCCAATTAGCAGGAGGGGAACTGAGTTCTCTGCAAACTGTTCTCTGTCATAATCTCTGCAAGTGCAAAACATCAGAATTATTTCCTTTGAACATATCTAGGACCTTATAGACAAAAAGTATTCTCTCACTGTATTCTGATATATAATCGTCCTTACAGAACCAGAAGACTCACCCATTTGATACAATGATGCCAGTTGGAGATGAGTCTTTGCTCAGTGCCTCCAGTGACCAGGGGTACAGATTCTGAGAGGATTTCTTATTGGTCAAATCATGAACTAAAATAATGCCTAGAAGGGAAAAAAAGAGAAGTGATTTAGCATTAAAGTAGTCATTACAAATATTCCAGCATGCTTTTTTACTTTGGATACATGTAAGAACAACTTTTAATGGTGTGTCTGATACTTAACCATTTACAAAATTGTAAAACACCGCTCTGGTGCTTTTAACACTGCTGGCACTGCCAACAGATCCCCCAACGTCCCAGAGTTCAATGTAGTATGTCTTCTCTTCTGGAGTGCCTTCTCTGTAGTCATGAACCTGTGATAAAAAGCAAGGCAAGGATTGCTATATAGGTTTATGATAATAACACAGTAAATGAATAAAAATCACTCCGAATTGTCACTGTACCCTGACGTCCACTGAGCAGCCCACAGTCAAATATTCCAGCATGCTTTTTTACTTTGTATACATGTAAGAACAACTTTTAATGGTGTGTCTGATACTTAACCATTTACAAAATTGTAAAACACAGCTCTGGTGCTTTTAACACTGCTGGCACTGCCAACAGATCCCCCAACGTCCCAGAGTTCAATGTAGTATGTCTTCTCTTCTGGAGTGCCTTCTCTGTAGTCATGAACCTGTGATAAAAAGCAAGGCAAGGATTGCTATATAGGTTTATGATAATAACACAGTAAATGAATAAAAATCACTCCGAATTGTCACTGTACCCTGACGTCCACTGAGCAGCCCACAGTCCACGACGGATTGCCCAAAACTTGATTCTGGCAGAGCAAATGTACAAGAGAGGACTTCCCTACTCCTGTAAACAGACATAAAATAGCGCTGATCAGAACAGGAATACTGAGGCTCACAAAGTATTTATTTTTAAAAGAAAAAGAACAACGTCGAAAGTGTGGTTTCTCATCTTTAATATTCTCAGATAATGTTGAACATAATAGTAATATTGTAGAAATCCAAGCAAATGTGGCAGGCTAATACTTCTAGCTTGAGTCGAATATCAGACAACACGCTTACAGTTTAAATTTACATTCACAATATCTTTGAGGAGGTTACAGAAAAACAACGACGATAGATTATTTAGATAAGATGCATTACCAGAATCTCCCAAAACCAACACTTTCACCCTATCCAAAGACGCCATTTCTTTCCGGAAATAACTACACTATGCTCTCTGTCCGTGTATAAGAACAAAATAAAAGTTGCAGGTGGGTATAACAAAAAATCAATGTCGATAAAACGGAAAGTATAAATTGAAAAAAATAAATAAATAAATAAATAAAGTTCTGTATTTAATAGTAGCCCTTGTATGAAATGCAGTTGAATTTTTATTCGCTCGCTTGTATTAAATATCTTCATTATTTGGCTTACCAGTTCTAATAATATAATATAATATAATATAATATAATATAATATAATATAATATAATATAATTAATATTAGATGGGTTATTATGAGATTTTTTTTATTGAACGTTTATAACACTTCCTTTTTAAAATGAGGCGGGACTTGTGACAGAGCAGGAAGATACTTTTTGATAGACATCACAGAAAGCCGGTGTATGTTATTGGACTTCTGAAAGAAACAAGGACCCATGGCTGTTAGAGGAATGAAATTGTCGAGTGTTTGTTTTCTACTTTTATATTTGATATTGACAGTGCTGGCTGGGTAAGTGAATATCGTGTTATTTTCAGGGTTTAGGTTTAGTGCATTATATAAACTCAGTACCCTGGCTGGTACACATGTTTCACTGTGATTGGTCTACGCCACTGTCCATGCATCATGCTGGTGAAGCTCGCCATAAACTACTTAATATCACCTCTCTTATTTATTGTACTTTAATGCGCTAATTCATAACTCGGAATGTTTTTTTTTTGTTCGAAATAGGACAGTGTTTTTTAAAGTACCAAAAATTGCTGTACTGTAACAAGGCTGATAACTTGTCATTGTTGCCACATGTTTATATAAATGTAAAATTTCTTTCATAAATATCTTAAGCTTCATACTGTTGTCTTCTGGCTGATTTCCTCATCAAGATGTATAGATGTTAAATAATTATACATCAGTATCAATATAGCTATAGTTTGAATGAATGAACTGGTGTACGATTGAAAAGTTCTAAAGTAATGTGTATTTTCAGGAGGGATTTCTACAAAATTCTGGGCGTAAGTAGAACAGCATCAATTAAAGATATTAAGAAAGCCTACAGAAAGCTAGCATTGCAGCTTCATCCAGACAGAAACCAAGATGACCCAAATGCCCAAGACAAATTTGCAGACCTCGGAGCTGCTTACGAGGTATGATTGTTTGTTTTAACAAGTCCTCTCAAGTGGGATCTTTGGCGTTTTGACTGTTACGCTTCATGTGTTGAACAAATATAATGTCTT